ATAATCCAATTGAATTAATTACACGAATTTATGTTCTCCTCTCTTTGGAAGGGTAAAAGTCTAGCCCGCCGGCTCAAGGAAACCAGTCCTGTCCTGTCCCTATCAATGAGGCTGGAATTTCTCTACACCTGCTATCTTGGCTTTCCGATTTCGTACGTTGTTTATGTTTTTGAAAAGACGAATGGTTAGAGTTTAACTTTTTAAAAACTATTTTATATAACAAATTGGATTTTAAGTAAAGTATGGTTTGTTTTATAAATTTATTAAAATATTTTAATAAATTTATAAAATATATTATAATTTTAATATATAATCCAATTGAATTAGGCAGAACCCTCAAATCACTCCTTGACAAATATGGGTAGGGACGGATCCAACCTTCAAAAAAAAGCAAGGACAAATGACACCCCAAAAGTATCGATCTACCCAAATCGATCATTATCTAACAGATGATGTCATCACCGTCACGATTTCCGTTTAGCCCGTGCCAGCGTGTCGTTTTTTTACACGCTGGATGCTGATGTATACCAATTTCGCCCTTTTCACACACCATGTCATTTGCGCGCCCTTTGTTTGACAATATGACTGGTGGGTCCCACTCTTTATCCCATTTTTAACCGATATTTGATGACCAACTTGTTTGCCCTAGTTTAGAGTTTTCAAAATTGGGGGTTAGGGTTCTCTTCAAAACCACAAAACCACAAGGCTTTCTCTCATTTCTGCAATTCCTTCCTGAAATTAGTCGAGGGGAAAAGATTGTGGGTGTTTGTGAGTTTATTCGCATGGAATCTTCCTCTAATTTTGGAGCTGGACCTTGTCGAGCCTCTGCTGGTGCAAGTGATGGTGCAATGGCGAGAACAGTTGTGAGGGATGTTGGGCTGATTGAGCACAACTGTGAAGGTCCTTAAATGTACTGTGAGTGTGGCTTCAAGGCACCAAGGTGGACTTCATGGAAACCATGGAGCATTGGGAGACGATTTTATGGTTGCTGGCACTTCTTGAATGAGGTAAATTTGGGGTTCTGCCTTAAGCCAATGTAATATTACTCATCTGTTGTTTTTTGTTTTCTTCCAATTTTTATTTACTACTTTTAGGTTGTTTAATGACAGGATTTAAAGTGCCCGTATTTTGTTTGGCATGACTTGGAATAGTCCCATGAGAGAGCCATTGAGCTACTAAAGTTGTTGATTACTGAGAAAAAGGCTCTCACAACAGAAAATTCATTATTGAGAAGGCAATTAAGAAACAGAGTGAATGGAGGTGTAGTTGTTGAGTCAAGCCACACCATTTCTACAACATATGAGGACACCATACAAAAATTTGATGAAATTATTGAGAAAACTATGGCAAATGCTATGAATGATATTGTTGAAAGGAAATTTGATGTCTTGATTGTAGTTTTTGTTGGTGTTGAGCTCAAAAAATTAATGGTTCATACTGTATTTGGTGTCTTTGTTCTAATGGTTGTGTATTTGATGTTTTGGGTGTTGTTCTAAGTGGGTAGGTAGTGTTTCAAGTGTAAATGTATGGCCCTTCTTTTGGTGTTTTTTGGTCGTATGTGATGACCAAAATTTTGGAAGCTTTGAGAACATGCCTATAAACCATTGTAATGTAATTGAATATGTTATGCAGCAATGGAAAAAGGGCTTTTCTACATTTGTAAAGCTATTTGTAAATCAAGACATAAATAATAAATACTTAGGTTTCTGATAACCTAAAAACTATAGAATAACAGCAGATGATAAACATTTTGTAACAAACAAAAGAACCAAAAGAACATTGTACTTCATAGCACCAATAGGTTGTTCAAAAACACATAAGCATAATACCAAAATAAGATTGTTCACGAGCACATGAATACATTTTTCATACATAAATAAGAGTATAACATTAAAGGCCAAATCAGTAGCTGTATACACTGCCAATAAACAAAAAAGTAGTCATGCCATCAAAAACCAGCCTTCATGCTCTCTCAAGCCTTATCCTTTCCCTTTCCTTTTGAACCCTGTTTGTTCTGCACTACCGCTCTGCCTTCATCGATGACAATGCCAGCAGCCTCCATGAACTGAATAGAAAATATTAAGGTGCACATTTCATTACCTTATACATAAAAAAAAGTTATAAACACAAAAAAAAAAAAAAAAGGAATTGTACACAATAAATATTGTTATTTTTTCTTACACTATTGTTAAGCTTTCGTTTTGCTTTTCTTGTTCTTCCTTCTACCCCTCCCAAACAGACAGTATCACCTTTTTTACCAAACTTTGTGCTCTTTTTTGCTGCTTTTGGTTTTTTTGTGGGATTTGAACTCTTTTTACCTGTTTTCTTGACCTGTCATTCAATAAAGTTAACATGTCAAATAAAGTGTAACATTGCACAAATAAAGTGCAATAGCAAAGTTACCTTGGTTTGACTAGGGCTTGCTTGTTCTTTGTCTTTCTGTGGACATCCAGCTTTGTTATGCCCTTGTTCACCACACACACTACAAGTGTACACAGATCCATGCTTTGATAACTTGGTCAATTTCCCCTTCTTCAGTTTCACAGGCTCATCCTTTGCCCTTCTTCTATTCCTTCTAGGGTGCCCTGGCATTAATCTCATCTCCGGTGGCAAACATCCTCCTTCTGGCCTCCTCCTCAACACTTCGTTCCCTCTGAGGCATTCTAGTGCTGTCCCATAAGTTTGAAGGTACTTTTCCCTTTTGTAGTACTCATCAACAAAGTACTCAAAACTCCAATCTTTGAATCTTAATGCACAAAGAGCTTGTGAGCAAGGAATTCTAGTGAGGTTCCATTCTCTACATGAGCAACTTCTTTCATGGACATTGACCACATGTGTATGCTGTGTATGCCCATCAAACACAGCAAAGTCATTGTCACCATTCCACCTCACATTGCATTTTATTGACAAGTTATTATTATCATTAATCTTCTTCAGAACTCTAGGTGCAATATTAGTTGCCCATGTATCAACAAACAACTTTTCGTCTTTAAATCTCTCCATGAGCTGGTCAATTAAAGTCCTAAACATTGAAATAATGGCCTTGCATCTTGCACCCAAAATCCATGCATTAAAAGTCTCACACATATTATTATCGACCATATCAGACTTACAATGCTCATTAAAAAAGGCCTTGCACCAGAAATTACCAAGCAGTTCATTCAGTTCAGCATAAGCCTCCTCAGACAACACCCTCAAAGCATTCATTTTGTCCAGATAGTCGAACTCATTGGTTGCCCTACATGCTACCCAAAATGCGAGCTTGATGTCACTACCTCTATTTCGCCTTGCAAGATTGTAGTAGAGGTGCCTTGCACAATATCTATGCCAAATCAATGGTAATACCTCTGCCTTTGCATTAATAATGCCCTACACAATTAAAAATGCATTTAATTATTATAATAAACACATATGTCCCTAATCATAAAAAGTTAATAATAATTGTGATAAATACTTACTGGATGTCTATCAGAAATCATGGTGTAACGTTGTCCATCGCCCAACTCCAAATCATTTGCAAGCTTTTCCATGAACCATTGCCAAGAATCATTGTTTTCTGACTCAACGACAGCCCATGCAATTGGGTACATCTGGTTATTTCCATCTCTACCAACAGCAGATAACAGTATGCCCTTGCATATTCCCTTAAGAAAACAACCATCAACCCCAAAGATTGGTCTACATCCTTTTTTCCAACCATCACTAACTGCTTTCAAACACACATACATCCTGCTAAACACTCTTTGACCAGCAGAATTCTCATCAGTTGTAATAAAAACTGAGTTCCCAGGGTTTACTTCTTTCAAGTACATCCCAAACGCATTAATCGTAGCATACTCATCTCTATAATTTCCTTCCATATCCTTTAAAACCATTCTTTTTGCCCTTTCACATTTCTTGAAGTTGACATTTACCCTAAGCTCATTATAAGCAAATGTCATCATGTCTTTACATTTTATGAAAGGAGTGGCATAAATTCTACTTTTGAAGTGCTCAGCCACCATCTCACAAGTCATCATCTTGTTGTTAGGATTTCTGAAGCAAGTGTGTTCAGGGTAGTAACTCTTTACCTTGAAACCGTCGTCCCTCTTCTCAAATGAAGGATAAATCTCCCAGCTACACAAACCAGACTTGCAAACAAACCTTTGCCTTTTAGGTTCATTCTTAATGTGTATAAGAGGACATCCTTTCCTCACAAAATAACGTTTGACTGCTTCCTTGAATTGTTTGGAACTTTGAAACCTCATTCCAACTTCAAAAATAGGGACATCCCAAGCAGGATTAAAGTAGACATTTGAAGCTCTTCTTGGTCTATCTGCTGCCCTAAGAGCAGGAAAAATGTCATGTTCAGAATCTGTTGATGAGTCCCTCAACTTGCCAGCATCATCACTTAGAGCATATTCACTATCTCTCCCATCATTATCATTGTATAAGCACTCATCATTATCAACTAGAACTGATTGGGATGGATGTACTAGTTCTCCCTTCTTTCCTTTTTTAGGGGTTAAGTCCTTCCCCTTGTAAGACTCTCTACCTTGTGGCAATGTTTTATACCTCTTCTCTGCAAGCTTGGCCTTTTCCTTTCTCCTTCTGGCCTTCTCAACAGGATCTATTGGAACCCCTTTGCTTGTAGATGTTGAGGTTGGATCTGTTGCTTTCTTTGTGGGAGTAGATCTAAGAGTTGGTTTCTTTGCAACAGTTTTGTACCTAACCCCTGTTTTTGAACCCTCAAAACCTGGAGGAACTTCTAATCCTTCTGTTGGTCTCCTTAGAGACCTTGCAGTAGCCTTCACAACAATGGCTTCATCATCATCTCTATCACTACCATCAACAGGATCTGCTTCTTCATCTGTTGAGCTCCAGTCCAACAGAAAACTCTTCTTCATAGCCACCTCTATTACTGCATTCACCTTTTTCAAATGAATTTCCAAATTTACCCTTATTACCACCAATTGCCCTATCTTGGGTTATGTTCCCTATGTCACCTTCCTTTTCTCCCTCATTAACTTCATTGTTACCATTTTGGCCTACTCTATCTTGTGGTCCCCAATCCTCATAAACTACATCATTATCAATCCAACCTATTGGTAGAGGAGCAATTTCAGCAAAATTAACCTCATGGTCCACATAAAACTCACATATCATCTCTTCTCTAACAATCCTCATAACATCCCTAATACTATCATCACCTGCCAAAGACTTTAAATGCCTAGGCATGCTTGCTAACATTCTTTTGTAATAAATATTTTTAATCATAACGTCCTCATATCCTAAACCTACAATGAAATCCATGATGACATCAACATTCAACCTATCACAGTCAAATGCCTGTTCTGTACATATTCCCCCTTTGTACTTAAATGGAGGTCCAGCCACGAATGTCCCCTCATGGAAAATGGACAAAATCCCCTAGTAATCATCTGCCATTCTGGTCAATGGTAACACAAACCAAAATTAATGTGGTCCATCAATGATAAAATATATTATATAATTGACAAAATGCACATGCATCCAACACTTACAGTCAACAACAAACTAGAAAACTTTATAAACAAACATTTTCCAAGAGAAAGCGACTGCAAAGGCTTACCTTTACTTTGTCCTTCACCTTGAACCCCACCACCAACTGCAACACTCAGTGTGTGAGGGCCCTTTAAAGCTTCAGTATTTTCTTCATATTTGCCAAAAAAGAGTTGAGCCAACTCTCGTCCCATACTCAAAAGTGAATTTGGTTCAAAGATTTCTTTGAGAAATGAGTCTTCAATTTTTCGCTGCAAATCAGAGTCGAAGACGGAGGTTTTCCTTCTTCCTCTTTTAGGGCTAAATGGGGTCCATGACAAGGAAAAGGGAATAAAAGGTGACACGGTGTGTGAAAAGGGCAGGATTGGTACACATCAGCATCTAGCGTGTAAAATAATGACACAGTGGCACGAGCTAAACGGAGATCGTGACGGTGATGATGTCATCTGTTAGATAATGATCGATTTGGGTAGATCGATACTTTTGGGGTGTCATTTGTCCC